TAGTAGAGTTGCCGTATGTAGTTGTCCAATATGGCGGACCATCTCGCACATGCGCAGTACAGATCGGGCAGGGGGACAGATCGGGTAGTGACAACCTCTCCTGATCATCAGACAGGAAGTAGACGACGCTTCACTTCCTGGAAGTATTTCACATTAATGAGCTTTAATGTGTCGGAGTGTCGATGGAGGGTTTACCGCTCTGTGTCTCCACTTCCTGTCTGACACGCAGCCAAACTATCATTAAACCACAGCACACGCTACTCGTGCACACTCCTCGTGCACACTCCTCGTGCACACTCCTCCTGCACGCTCACCAGAAACTGACACACAGTGAAACCATCATTAAACCACAACACACGCTCTTCATGCACGCTCCTCATGCACGCTCCTCATGCACGCTCTTCATGCACGCTCCTCATGCACGCTCCTCATGCACGCTTCTTGTGCACGCTCACCAGTACCCGACCCACTGAACCACCAGAGGGCCGGTCAGACTGCAGGTTCTTCCTCATCTTGATTTCTGGGTTTCATCAGGTTGTATTTCTAAATGTTTCAGTGAGAGAAACTTCCAAGAGCACTGGAGAAGAATCAGAAGAGCCCAGAGAATACAGATGATTTGTAGCAGGGAATATGAAGTATTTAGGGTGAATAATCAAGAGGCCCTTCAACAGGGTCAGATGGGTTATAGATGTGTTATCTTCGACTCATGAGCAACGCCTTGTGGTGTTTGCTGCTGCCACGCAAACATCTCCAATTTGGGATCAATAAAGACTTGTCTTGTCATTTGGAAGATGAAGAGAGTTTAGAGGTAGTATCTTCTTCTCTCCTTCAGAGGAAGGAAAAGAGAACTTAAGAATAAAGTTTCTGTTAAAGTTAAATACTGTCATGACCTTTCTCTCTCAACGCCTCCTCTCATTGGACAGAATCAGAGGGACGCTTTGATGACAGGAAGCTGCACCTTAACGTCCTCCAGCTGTGACGCACACCAGAGCCACTTCCTGTCAGAAACACACAGGCTGCCACTCTGCAGGTAGACCCCCCCCCCCCCCCCCCCCCCGCAGTAGATCATTATGTCTCTGGTTCTGCCTGATAGCTTATTAAAGAATAAGAAGAAGTGTTCTCTGTGTTCTCCCTCAGCTGGCCTCACAGCGCCACCTAGTGTCCCTAGGGACTGCTGGTGTTTAGAGTCTTGTTGTCAGTGCATGTTGCATGGAGACCCTCAGGACCAATCAGAAGTGAGCTTCAAGTGTTGTTAACATGTAGAGGTAAATACATGAAAAAAATGTTATTAATACTTTGAGAAACATATTGTTATATTTAGAAAAAAAGTTGTAATAAAATGTCAGATTATTTTATGAAAAAAATTGTACATTTTAGAGAAAGATATTGTAAAATTTCAAGAAATAAAGTCATAATAATTTGGAAAAAAGGCAAAATATATTTAATTAAAACAATTCTAAATACACTAAGAAAAATATTGTAATAGTAATACTCTTAGGTGGAGGTCAAAATATTTTATAAAGGTGCTGCAAACAATTTACAGACTAATAAATAATTTGATATTTTATGCTCTTAACCTTTTATTTATTTTTTTATATTACCATATGTTATTCAATATGCTCCTTAGATATCTTTTTATTTTATTTGTTTTATTATTTTCTCCTTATAGCCTTGTGAAGCACCTTGAGATGACGTTGTTTTTAAAGTGTGCTCAATAAATCAAATGTATTATTTTGATAGACAGAAAAGTCATCACAGACGATTATCTTGTGTTTTCTCCTCAGAGCCGCAGGACTTTCGCTCCGCTGACGAAACGCAAACTCCTCCGAGGGTTGAAACTGTGACTCAAATCATTAGTGATGACTCATTTCAAAAGAAGAGTGAAGTGTGAACAGGAAGTGAGTCTCTGCAGGAGCTGGGCAGCCGAGCTGGCACGACCACAACGAGGTTTCAGAGCCGTCTCCATGGCAACGAGACGTAAACAGGAACAAAACCCGCGAAAATATCAAATATGATCTGCTGCAAGTCGCTGAGCATTACATTCATGCACGCTATGTTGCATGTTGACAATATCTGTTTGTTTTTAGTGCATATATTTTATTCCATTCTATTTCAATGAAATTCTGCTTTATTTTATTTTTTATTTACTATATTTCTTCTTATTTTTTTTAATGTTATTATAGTTTTCTTGAAACTGTTTTCTGTCTCTGTTTTTAATTATTGTTTTACTTTGATGTATGCACCACGACACCTGTCAAATTCCTCCTACGTGTCAACCCACCTGGAGATAAACCTGGTGAGGTGAGGCAAGAATACTTCCTGGCATTTGGAAAACAAAGAGTGGAACAAGCTAGCAAGTGTGCAGGTGTGCGTCATATGAGAGGCCCCGCCTCCTTACATCTTCCGCCACAGATTTGGGGAAATTGGTCCGTGCGCAAAGCATTGTGGGGATTTTAAGACCGCGGAGTCTACTCATGTGCAGCCTCGATATTTCTCCAAACGGAGTACGCCGGGCTCGGTAGATTTCCAAGTATGCTGGAGATTGGAACAGTACTGACGGCCGGCACTCGATTACGTAGTATGCTCGAATAGTGGCTCTGAAGCAGCTTTACTCGAGATTGAGAACACCCTCAGTGTTGCTCGACAGGAAGAACGCTGCTCGTTGTGTCATGTTTTAGTGATGCAACGAGATCTGTCTCTAAATGTTTTACTGAAGACTGTCCGTCCTCACCAGAGACATTCACTTTGATACAACCCTCCAGATCAGAGAGACACCAGAGACATTCACTTTGATACAACCCTCCAGATCAGAGAGACACCAGAGACATTCACTTTGATATAACCCTCCAGATCAGAGACACCAGAGACATTCACTTTGATACAACCCTCCAGATCAGAGACACTGCAGAGACATTCACTTTGATACAACCCTCCAGATCAGAGACACTGCAGAGACATTCACTTTGATACAACCCTCCAGATCAGAGAGACACCAGAGACATTCACTTTGATACAACCCTCCAGATCAGAGACACCAGAGACATTCACTTTGATATAACCCTCCAGATCAGAGACACCAGAGACATTCACTTTGATACAACCCTCCAGATCAGAGAGACACCAGAGACATTCACTTTGATATAACCCTCCAGATCAGAGAGACACCAGAGACATTCACTTTGATACAACCCTCCAGATCAGAGAGACACCAGAGACATTCACTTTGATATAACCCTCCAGATCAGAGAGACACCAGAGACATTCACTTTGATACAACCCTCCAGATCAGAGACACCAGAGACATTCACTTTGATACAACCCTCCAGATCAGAGAGACACCAGAGACATTCACTTTGATACAACCCTCCAGATCAGAGACACCAGAGACATTCACTTTGATACAACCCTCCAGATCAGAGACACCAGAGACATTCACTTTGATATAAACCCTCCAGATCAGAGAGACAACCAGAGACATTCACTTGATATAACCCTCCAGATCAGAGAGACACCAGAGACATTCACTTTGATATAACCCTCCAGATCAGAGAGACACCAGAGACATTCACTTTGATATAACCCTCCAGATCAGAGACACCAGAGACATTCACTTTGATACAACCCTCAAGATCAGAGAGACACCAGAGACATTCACTTTGATATAACCCTCCAGATCAGAGACACCAGAGACATTCACTTTGATACAACCCTCCAGATCAGAGACACTGCAGAGACATTCACTTTGATATAACCCTCCAGATCAGAGACACCAGAGACATTCACTTTGATATAACCCTCCAGATCAGAGACACCAGAGACATTCACTTTGATATAACCCTCCAGATCAGAGAGACACCAGAGACATTCACTTTGATATAACCCTCCAGATCAGAGACACCAGAGACATTCACTTTGATATAACCCTCCAGATCAGAGACACCAGAGACATTCACTTTGATATAACCCTCCAGATCAGAGAGACACCAGAGACATTCACTTTGATACAACCCTCCAGATCAGAGACACCAGAGACATTCACTTTGATACAACCCTCCAGATCAGAGAGACACCAGAGACATTCACTTTGATATAACCCTCCAGATCAGAGACACCAGAGACATTCACTTTGATATAACCCTCCAGATCAGAGAGACACCAGAGACATTCACTTTGATACAACCCTCCAGATCAGAGACACCAGAGACATTCACTTTGATACAACCCTCCAGATCAGAGACACCAGAGACATTCACTTTGATACAACCCTCCAGATCAGAGAGACACCAGAGACATTCACTTTGATACAACCCTCCAGATCAGAGACACCAGAGACATTCACTTTGATACAACCCTCCAGATCAGAGACACTGCAGAGACATTCACTTTGATATAACCCTCCAGATCAGAGACACCAGAGACATTCACTTTGATATAACCCTCCAGATCAGAGAGCACCCAGAGACATTCACTTTGATATAACCCTCCATCAGAGAGACACCAGAGACATTCACTTTGATATAACCCTCCCTCCAGATCAGAGACACCAGAGACATTCACTTTGATATAACCCTCCAGATCAAGAGACACCAGAGACATTCACTTTGATATAACCCTCCAGATCAGAGACACCAGAGACATTCACTTTGATATAACCCTCCAGATCAGAGACACCAGAGACATTCACTTTGATATAACCCTCCAGATCAGAGACACTGCAGAGACATTTCGTTAACCATTCATCCCACATCAAAATACTTGTTGATTGAGTGTTAGGACGATCTTTGCATGAGACCTTCTGACTTTCTGACTGAAATGTTTCTCTTTTGAAAAACTACAATTTTTGTCTTTTAAAAAATATTTGAGGAGATTTTTAGCATGAAAAGAAATCCCTTTTGCGTGATCACACTACTACACACTACGCACTACACACACACTACTACACACACACTACTACACACACACACACACACTACCACAGTAAAAACTACATCCAGACTCACTCTGTAGTTTCATCATCACGTCCTTTATGTCCCCGTACCTCCCGCTGGACGCCATGATGTCCTGTCTCTGTGGGACAGGGTCTCCTCTGCCCCCCCTCCTCTCTTTATACTCGCTCTGCAGCTCAGCGTCCGATGAGATCTCAGGGGTCATGCAGAAACTTCACCGTCCAATCACAGCGCAGCTCACACGCTTCTGCAGGAGAGAGTGTGTGAGAGGAGTGTGTGTGAGGAGTGTGTGAGAGAAGTGTGTGAGACTTTACTTTACAGATGTGGATGAATGATGTGAAATATAATCAAGTGTTAAATCAGACTTTAGTTCCACCTGGAGTAAATCCACAAGCTACTGCAGTATACAAAGTCATTCAAACTAGCTGCACCTTTACCAGCTTTGAGAACACTTTCATGATCAATCATTATAAAACATATCATATATATTATTCTGAAATGGACCAATCTGCACAAATGACTACTTTTACTGTCGCTACTTTCACTATATTTTGATGATAATACTTTTATACTTTCACTTGAGGAACATTTTGAATGCAGGACTTTTACTGTAACAGAGTATTCCTACACTCTGGTACTTCTACTTTTACTCAAGTACAAGATCTGAGTACTTCTACTTTTACTAAGTACAAGATCTGAGTACTTCTACTTTTACTCAAGTACAAGATCTGAGTACTTCTACTTTTACTCAAGTACAAGATCTGAGTACTTCTACTTTTACTAAGTACAAGATCTGAGTACTTCTACTTTTACTCAAGTACAAGATCTGAGCACTTCTACTTTTAATCAAGTACTAGATCTGAGTACTTCTACTTTGACTCTAGTACAAGATCTGAGTACTTCTACTTTGACTCTAGTACCAGAGTCTGCAGTGATCTGTCTGTACCCTCGTGTTTCTGCACATTAAACATTAAACAGTGAATTCATGTCATTATAATAAAGTATAACCCGCTCGGCTTCCTGTGAGATTAGCGGCAGCCTGACAGAGAGGAAGTCTCCTAACTGCACCTTAACGTCCTCCCCCCCCCCCCCCCCCTCTCTGGACCCCCCCTCAGGGACAGCAGTCTGACCCGCCGCACAAACACTGCTTTATATCAAATAAAGTTTAATTTACAGACTTTAACTCTCATGTTTCTCTGAATGAAACTCACCGCTCAGCTCGGGTCCTCGCGTCGGAAGTGACTGCGCGTGTTTGCCATCGTTGTCCCATGGTTACTGCGGTGTGGAGTCAGAACCCAGTAGTAGAAGAAGAGGAAGAAGAAGAAGAAAAAGAGAAGAAGAAACTTTCTCAAAACCATGAGTTATGATCGAAAAAAGAAACTAAACATCTAAAATAATCACTCAAAGTAACACAAGGCCATTTAGAGTGCTTTACAGAAAGGAAACGCGTTATAAGATCACATTTAAAAAGCAAAGATAATACAAGAAACACAGAACAGCTGATATATAATAACACAGGTATACATACTATATATAAATATAATATAATAGTTACAGTGCAGAGAGATATTAATAATAGTAATGCATTTTATTTATAGAGCACTTTTCTTGAAACTCAATTACACTTGCTTCTGGGGACAGAAAGGTGTCTTTGATACTGAGGACTCTGGAGACATGTCCACAGCACTTTGCATGAGGATCATTTGTTTCAAATATCTGTATTGAGAAGAAGCGTAGGAGTGTAAGCAACAGTACAGACTGCTTTGGGTGGAAATAATGCTTCTCTTTTTCAACATGGAAGACAAACAGAACAGCCAACAAGAAATAATAAAGAAAAAACAGCATGTTGTGTCTGGTCAAATGTGTTAGTTAAGTTTATGTATTTTGTCTGTCATTTCCTGTTTTATTTTGTACTTACCTCTTGTCTTTCATTTCAGGCCCTGTTTCTTCCTCTCCTTGTGTGTTTTTCCCGCCATCATCAGTGTCTGCCCCGCCCCTGATTGTTTCCACCTGTTCCCACTCACCTCATGTTTAAATAGTCCTGTGTCTCCCCTGTCCTGTGTCAGTTGTCTTGTTTGTTTCTCCGAATGGTCGTGCCAAGCCTCAGCTCAGAAAGGATCGCTTTCTCTCATGTCAGCTTTTTGATACGCTAGTTTTTACCTCCTTGTGAGCGCCTTTTGTTATTTCCACCACCGACTCTGTTAAGAGGGATTACCTGAACTGTATAAATAAATATAACATTTTTATGTTCAGACTTTGTCTCTGGGGTCATGCATGTTGGTTCATCATTTGTGTCGAGGTCCTGACAATGACAGGAATACCATACTTAATGAACATACATAGTCATGGTGGGAAGAACATACAAAAATAGTATATATATAATACAAAATAAATGAAATAAGTTAAAGGGTGCAGATGAGCCCAGATGACCTAAATGTTCTGAATATAGCACAGATATTTGTACACTTTGTATTTATGTAACCCAAGTGGAGCAGTTTAATATGAGTAATAACTGAATAGAGAACAGCTTTGCAGCAGCAGAGTTACTGCACTAGTGGTCAACAACAGTACTGTAAGCATACTGTTTGTATGTATTGTTTGCAGTCGGGTTTTTTTAAGTCTGGTAAAAATGTCCCCTCCACTGTTTCTAACAAAGTGAGGGTCTGGTTCCAGGAAGACCTGAGAGATCTGGTTCTGGGGACAGAAAGCAAACATGTCTACGATTT